ATAACAGCATTAATACCACTGATTTTATGGAATAAAACAAACTAAGCTAAGACGAGTGGCTTTTGATTACGCTTGACTGCCTGCTGGCAATAATTCTATTTAATATTTGAAATAGGAATTTCGAATTTCTAACCCTTTGTCGGCGATTTGTGGGCGTGTAAACGTCTACCTCTATTTATCGCGAATAGATCGGGCTATAATGGCTGTTACAGGCCGACAGTGGTACTTGTTTGACCGTTCGCGCACTATATCAAAGTGATTGCTGAAACATTAGGTCGGACCGCGGTCAGGTCGCCCTCGTCTAGACGTCTACTAATTTTGACTCAACCTCCTGTCGATATTTAGTTAATCCTGCCAATTGATATTCTGTTTCTTTATTATATCTACTGAATTACTTGTAACCTTATATTTATTTTACGAGACTAGTTTTTTTTTGTTGAGAAATATTCCGACGCTACTGTATCGCTATATCTGAAAGACACATTCTTCATCATTCACTGAAATTATATCCCTAATATCATGTAGTGTAGAGGTTAAGGAAGCCGGGTAGCTATTCGTGGAATGCGTATTCGGTAAGGCCTGTTACATACGCGAAACAAACGGTAGGGATTACGCACATCGCATTAGCATATAATGGTGTTATTTGCATTCGGCCACTGAGGCTTATTTTACGCCCGTTTATTTTTCAGAAATCCAACCCGTTCACTGCAGCACAGTAATTTATGCAAAATACCGCACATGATTGGACGGCGGCGGACCCCTTTTTGCCTTTTTAAACCTCCTCGTTTATAGTTTGCTGTAATATGTTCTGACCTGACGAATTATGTGGTCGCTCGGGCAATTTTTCAGATCGATGTCGGTACATGTTGTTCCTTTAATTTACTCGTCTCGTTGCCAACCACACATTTCCTTGTTCAATTTCCTTCCTTGTTTGAATCGAAGTTTGGTCTTTAATAATTCTAAATATTTAATATAAGTTATAGCACAATCAATATTTTGTTAAGAAGTTTCCTTATGACAAATATCCTTTCTGTGATCAGGAAAATATTAGTAGTGAATGAACCCGAAAAGCTCAAGAATTTAAGTTGGAACCCAATGCCATCTCGAATATCGGAGATGGTTCTAGCTGTGTGCGCTCGACACGCGGGCCGGGAAAGAATTTCAATAAGTTGTTTTCATTTGCAAATTGCGCGCCGCGGCGACACCTAATGGAATAGGAATCTAGGGAGCCGCGTGCCGGCCGTCGCACCAGTTCCGCTTATTGGATTATAAAGAGCTCTTTCGATGCGTTCACGCTTGCTCCGATTTTTTCGACCCGCTAATGCGATTTGCGATTTGTTTTCAAGAAAATGAACAAGGTTATACCCCGATCCGTCGCCCGCTCCTTGCTTACATTCCCTTAATGTTTACTCTATTAATTTTAAGACCGTGGCGGCGACGCTGTCGTTCTCCGATGAAGAAGGATCTTTGTCAGGAGGTGCGCTGGTGAAAAATGCGAGAACGTTATTAGCAACCCGGGGATGAATTGGTATGCCGCGGGCATGTTCCGTTCGACCGTCATTATTCATTTATTCATGGGGCTCCCGTACTAAGGGCCAACGAGAATTTACTATGTATTATAGTTAATTGTGTGCTAAGTAACAAAACTTATTCTTTAGCCTGTTCTGTCACCTTGGGTGGCTAACGCTTATGTTAACATGTCATCATGTCTCTTATTAGGCTGTAAAATAGTTAGTACAGTTGCTGAATACGTCTAGATCAAAAATTATTGTTTGTTTGATGTTGTTTCAGTTAAATAGTTTATACTAGGTACATCAGATAATTCTTCTGTCCAAGTGTCAATGACACTTAATATCATATGACATATGCATTACCCTTGATAGAAACCTGAACTCCCAAAAATTTACATAACTCATTATGCAAGACGCATCTATACCTTTGTTTACCTTAAATAATGATGAGAACAAACCAATACATTTGTTGAGCATTATGCAAATACGTAACGGTACTGGTCGTGCCAAGGAACGCGGAAGCATGTTTTCCAATAAAGCGAGCAATAAACGCATACTCGTGGCCACCATCGATGTATGTACGCTGCTCGTGGACACATTCCAACTGACCATACAAAAGGTGGACCTAAACTCAAGCAATGGCGAACGCAGTTTGAAGAATTTCGCACCAAAAACTTCAGTAATTACCAATTAGCTGCTGCAGAAACAAACGCATTTTATTGTAAAGCGCTCTAATTGGGAACTTGCGGTGTAATTACGAACACGCGGCCCAACCCCTCTTATTGTTTAGCTACGCGGAGGGCCGCTCTTTTCGCGGTGGGTCCCCTTAACACCTTAAAATTCGTGAGGTTTTGAGGTCGATACGATAAACTTTTATTATGAAGGTTTCCTCATATCAAACTATCAATGGTAGTTTAAGAGCCTGAATTTATGACTCTTGTATGGCAACAGGCTCACTTCCTATACCATAAATTGTATTATTTACATCATTCCCTTTTCGGAAAAGTACCACGACGTCTGTTATTTTAGGTGCTTTGTCGATATCCAAAGAAACAGTGTATATCACAAAATTGCTCAAACCTTTTCAGAAAACAAAATACGAATGTTACCAATGTTATAAGGGTAGAAACTTTGTTTTGTTTGTTGAGGTAATCTCGATAACTGCTCAATTGTTTTCGATAGTTCTTTCACAGTTGCCAACTTGTGTCGTTTCGTTCCCTTCCCTCTGAACACTGGGCGCGACAAGTTTTTGTTCACGTTTGTGTCATATCTGTGAACGATCTGCAAACATTGGTTGGGCAATATAATGTTAAGTTATAATTTGTAACTTTTTCTGGATTACTGTAATTGTATCTTCTTGTAACTAATGTATTTAAACTAGCCTAATAAGCTTCAACGTTTACCAAAGAAAAGCACTTCTAAATGCAATTTATATTTCATAGAATAAATGTGACGATATCGGAGGGCGCTCGTAAACATGTCGTCAATAAAGTCTTGGAAGTGACCCGTGCTCGCCCCCGGCACGACATTGTTCCCGGTTTATAAAATTACCCCGTTAAAGGAGTGAGCCGCTCAAAGGGGCTCCTCGGTACATGCTTTAGATGTACGGCTGTTGCTAACTACATATATGTATTCGGAAGTTGAAGATTTCCCCACAATTCTTAGGGTTAAACGTCCCGACCCATTGAACAAGCTTCAAAATTTTGGTTTGTAGTAGTTCGGATTTTGGTTGTATTGGTTACCGTTATGTTAAAACATTCGCGTCATTTAGATGACATTTGCGATGGAGATAAAAGCCTTAATTTTACAAAATCAGTGACGTTTTCTACACATTGAAATATTTAAATGAAAGATAGTATCTAAAATATATAAACGGTTAAAAATAATTTCAAACTTCCCGTTTAGGAGCGGCTGTCTTATCAAATTCTATCACGTCATCATGATGTATGTCGCCATCATCAGTTTTATCATTTCTCCTGAATACTCGAGTCGGTGCGAGCTTAACGGTTCCAAATTATGTGTGAAGGCTTTATTTGTCGTGTGATGTGTGTAAACCGGCAACGTGTGGGCCCGATAAGTATTCAATACACGTCTCGACATAAATTAACCAACAGGTGTGTTCTCCCTGAAATGAACATAAATAAAAAACAGATCAAGCGCGAAATGGCAACATTCGCAATAAAGGTTCCAATGCTGTACGACTTTATACAACCTTACCTTTTGAAACGTGTTCTGCGGGAAGCTACAATCGACTATTTCATTTCCAACCCATTAAAATGCTGATCTAAATGTATTTATTTCTTTATCCGTAGTTAAATTAACAACAACATTAAACAACCTTTCAGGGCTTTTAACACAGACTGTTTTTTCACGATTTATGTTATTGAACCCTAAAAACAGATGAGAAGTGCTAAACGTCGCGCGCTCCGTACCTTTATTTATATTTAGTGCCTTTATTTATACCCGGTTCGGTGTATGCTAATGTTCCGAAACGGGATGTAGACAGACAGAAATAGCTTCTTACTTGTCACGACAATTCGCCCTTAAAGCAGCTTCAGTGAGCCTGTACGGCTGTACCGTTATACTGAGTTATTTTAGAGTGTTCAGACTACAACTAAAATTACTCGGTGATTTTGTAGTTGTAATCGTAATAAATGTAAGAAGTTTCAGGAAACGTTGGACCTCGTCTCACCGCTGGCTAGGCTAACTGGCGCAAAGTTTTGCTAAGAGAGAAAAATTGCGTAGTTTTAATCAAATTAAAACTTGCTTTGGGTAGTACTATCAAAGTGGACTTTACTTTGAGCTTTTTTATAAAAGTATAACCAAAACAACTATCGCCATGATCAGGGCATCGAGTTTGATCAGTTCTTCTACATATCGTTCGATAAAAAGTACCTGCTGTTTTACTCGTCGAACATCTGCAAAAATACCAAATTCTCGACTGTTGCTAGATTTATAATCAACAATTGAAGCAGCAAGTTATCCATTTTAATATGCAAAAAACAATCGCAGCGCAGTGCGCACAGCTCTGTAACTTCATCTAATACTTCTCCGTGGCCTATTTCTGAGCGGATATAAGAATGCATTTTAAAGGACGCTTCCATAAACTGTTAGAAGTGCCACGAGTGACGTCGGAGACTTTCGCGGAGACGTTTGCGTGACATTTACGACGAGTGCTAATTGTCGCTCGACGGTTGCGGTTGTTAGGGGACCAGACCTGTATCGAGTGTACTTTGCCGTGGATTTCTCTTGTCTGCATCTGATTTGAGCCGATGCAACTTTCGCTCCAGACACGATCTGGTTTTAACGACGTTGTCTCGCAGCCGACTGCATTTCTTCCTTTAAATTCCTGGTACATTGTTTTGCTGTAAATACTTTTATCGTGAACGTGATACTTATGTGGAAGCCGTCATTTTTTGACGTCGATCTAATCAAAGCTTGCAATCAATATGATAACAATTGACTTATTTATTTTTGGCATGATTCATTTCACGAGTTACTTTTTATCATGATGCCTTTGTAAGCTCTGTTTGTTGTGTTGATTAGGCATATTGTTGTCATAATATAAATATTAAGGCACGCATACAAATGTGAACTTCGATCAAATATGTAGCTACTGCTCAATCCAAACGTTTCGTCAGACGTTGCCCAATTGGCCCAGAATGCAGTAACTGCGACACCTGTGTCGTCCGTTTGTCGGGCAAACTGATCCGTGGGCGTACGTGTGCCAACAACAAACAACGACACTAACCATTTACGAATGAAAACATTATCAACGTCGAAAGATAACATGGGAAATATTTTCTGATCATTAGCATGCAAGTTACAGACTGCAATGTAATATCAAAAGTAAATTATTGCTAATACACGCATAAACAATCGAATATTCATTGAATATTTATTCCGTTTGAATTACTCATTAATTCTTCTGTGTTATTTATCTCTGCGGGTTCTAATTATAATCCGATCGGCATTTATTTTTTCATCCTACATTTGATATCCGTAATTAGTTCCTGTATGTTAATAGAGTAAAAAATACAATATTGTGTTTAAAGGCCACGGTTACGGCTCATAGGTCTCACGCCAGGCTACCTGGATCACTTTAGTGTTTAGATATTTTAATTCGATGCAAAGTTTATAAATAATCCAGTTCTGGCGCGCTTTTAGTTACTAAAGGAACTCGCTACTACAACCTGCCTGTCCGGTGTTATTTCTGGCTGAATTTATCTTGGGTTGCTCTAGCAACATGTCATACATCTTGTTAAATTTGTTTCTTATTGTGTTTTTATAATGGCCCTTTTTGTTTACGCACAACAAACCTTCTTAAAAGAATTGCTTATCATTTTATCGCCGCTGAATAAAGTATCTTTAATCGGAACATTCCAATTCGGACACTTTAGTTGTACAAAAAGAATTTCAATATAAATCTCGGTCGTTTGTTACAAAATGTTAGATTGTTTGTATTACAAAAGTAGCTATTTAACGGATCGTTTTACGATCACCCGGTTTTATACTTAAATGGATTTTTATAATTGGAATAGCGGAGGCCTACGGCTGTCGATAGTTAACACAAACCGGAGATATTTAGTACTTAGTTTTCCCAAGTTTTCCAAGTTTGCGATGATATTGTGTTCGTGCGAAGTTCGCGCCGGGTCGCCCACGGCGTCTCCTGCGGTAACGTTTTCTTTCCCACAATCTTTGCTTGCGATAATTTAAAAGGTGTTTGCATACCATCGGAACGGCAGAGGGTGCCCTGCGCCTCCACCCTCATACTCACAACAACCATGTGCTTCTAATTATCAATATTATTAATTATATCACGTGCAATTGTTAATAAAACTGCGTCGTTAAAGTTGCATTAATTCGCATCTTTATCTTAACATCTATATCAAAATCAAGAAATACCTTAAATAGTAAATGTTTTTTACAAGTAACTTGCAAATTGATAAATAATTTTGTGTCAATTTAAAATGTATTAATAATATCATCACATCTTGTTGTAACTTGATTCATTCACATCGGATGTTATAAATTATTTCTTTCTGTCTACAAGCGAATAATTTGCTTTAAATAAATCATGCATAAGTAAACATAACGTCCACTTATGAAAATGTGCCAGAAGAATTTCAACAAATAAATTCAATAAAGATTTCAGCTTTCTTTGATAAAAAGCTATAACCATCATTTAGGAACAATATTTTAAAATTATTTATTTTGTCATAATAATAATTTAGTCAATAAAGCGTATTATATGAACATAGTTGTTCTTGTTATGTGTGAAAATAATCGGCAAAGATATTGGGAAACTGGCTTTGGTCCATTGGTAAGTAGAGCCCACGCGTGACCAAATGACATTTTTCTAACAAAGATCACCGGCCATTCTGATTTGATCACCTAAATTGATTGACTTTACTACAGTATGTAAAATGTGGTTATGTAAAATTGTAGAATATTTTTTGACGTACAATTTAGAACAAATGCGCATGACTCCGTCCCACCATGAATTCATGATTATCTGGAACATGATCTCGTCCACTAATCTATACGAAATTCAAATTTAATACAGTATCGTATAAAAAGAGTTAATATTCAAACTGATGAATAAACCATCCATGCATGGTACTCATGCTAACGAAATGCTATGCATTCGATGTTTGACCTTTGACATAAATTTAATAAAATGCATTAGGAGGAGAGCTTGAACCAATATTCAATACATTCGCATAATTAAACAGGCCGTACAGTGAGCGCGCGACAAAGCGTGTCCACGTAACAATTCCAGTAATAACTTTCTCATTGTCGCAGGCCAGGACTAGCCCTCGCATAAGTTTATATTATAATGGAACCAATATACGCTGTGTACCGAGTGTATGCGGGCGCGTCGCTGCCTACATAAATCTCTAGTGATAAATTAGACAATTCCATAAGATAGGGTGCACGCGCCGCCCTACGGGCCACATGCAGAGAGGTCGTTGGGATAATCGACGGGACTCATGCAATTTGGCATAGTATTTATCGTCCCACGTGTGTATACGCGCTTTTATGTTACCGGTCAATGTTTTGTTGTATAAACTTTACGAGCTGTAACGTTTACAAAAGGTTGACGGTGATGAATTGATGTTTGAGCGGTTTTCTATTTTATTGTTGTTGCGATACGTACTTTCGTCACTAATGCTTGTCTTGTTGCGTCGTCAAAGCGACGTCATCTAGTGTGACGTGATTTATTATTTTGTTATGCAAACCACATGCTGTACGTATATCGTCACATTAAGTAAACAGCTAGATATGAATTATGATCAACTTGCTAGACTAGATAGATTGTCAGATTCAAAATTCCTTCATCAAAATATCTTACATTGTGCTGAATGTACTTAGTTTTATATACTCTTCACTTACGTATTATCGTTGAAGGGTAGCCATCTAAGCACTTGTTTTTAAAGTCTGAGTGAGAGTCAACAGTCCCCATTCGAAATGTCAGAGTTTAAAGACACTCCTTAAAGATAAGAGAGAAAGTTTTATGTCTTGTTTGGGTTCTCTATCGCTGAAATAAGTCATGTTATCAAAAATATTCTAGTCTGAGCCGACATCATGCATATTTACGACAGTCCCATAGCCCAGGGAATTTTATATCGAGACAAAAACACCGACGGGGACCTAAATAAACAAAAATTACATCACAACGCGTTCGGATGATTCACGGCGCGCAACGTAGCAAAACATCAATTTACCGTGAAAAAAAATCTTTCACAGCAAAGCTGACCCGGAATAATAGCAGCTATATAGACAGTAGACGTCATTATGGTGCTCGGTACGTCAAAACACGCCAATGTTGACGACCCCGATGACTTGCATGATTCGCCTGGCCATCTCATATCGATCCCGCTTCGCCCGCCAACTCACTTCACAGTTTTATACGTCACATAAAAACCTGCGTATTAATAACATTATTTTAATTGTTTCAGGTAAGAAACGGCAGATCCTGTATCTATGATGCTGACATGTAACTATGAGAATTGAACATTATTCCAACATCAGATTCTTATGTAAAGTATCATGTCAGTTTTGATAATAGATTATTTACGTAATAAATACACGAGTGTCCCTCGTAAAGGACAATAGAAGCTACTCGATTTTATTAAGCCAATTATCATAAATCAGTAATGAACCACATGGATACGTCATAGGCGTATTTGACCGGTATCGATTCAAATTTAAAATTAGGCCGATGTTTGTTGCCAGCCAATGACTAACACGGTTCTGAAGTTCAGCATTCATCTCAGAAGTGTGATCTTTAAATAGATTTCATAAAGGTCGTAGAACAATATATTGTATTTACATAGGCTGAATACCTATATAAATACAAATAAAAAAGCTCTTGCATTCTCTCTTTTACGACTTCCCATTTACTCAAAGTGCCTCCAAAAGTTGTACAATGTATAAGCAACCTCTGTTTTCGTGTTTTAAATTATGATTGTATCGATTAGCTTCGTCATGTCAGATTATTTTGGCTGCTGCTGTCACGTGGCGCACCGCTGCTAGATATTTCAATCAGCCGGTCAAGGAACTATTACATCGCCACCGCGGCACCATTATCTTGGCCCGGAGATTGATGGCCCAATATTGCGATGGACTCCGATACCTACATATACAACGCTTTACATATACAGAAGCATAATAAAACTAGCGATACCAACCGCGTAATGTATGTCAATAAAAATATGTTTTTGTTTATCTCCGTCTGTTATGTCCGGCGCGGCGCTAGACTATTTATAGAAAGCAGTAAAACATTCTAAATCAAACTAATTTCATTAAGACTTTTATGTTTTTATTTCGAATCATAAATCGCTTTAGTACCGATCTTAACGTTTATCCAGTCGAGTTTTGATTCTTGTGCAAATTTATAGTCATTGCCCTCTTCATGGTGTGTGGCGTTTGTTTGTGCCCCGTCTGATGCTTATTGACAATTTGATTTGCTCGTATTGCAAAGAAACTGGTTTTGTCTTCTCTGGGTATTTCCTCGCGTGATATTTTGTTGTTCCGTTTCATTACACCATAATTTAAAGATAAATTGCTGATATCAATCTCCAGACTTCGGTTTTCAACATGCCCCTCACCAATCGCTTTAATGCTTGCTAGGATATTCATCGTGATCACTGCCTCATATAGCATTGTGCTTGGAGACAATACTAGAACCAATTTGCATTGAAAACGATTTGTGCTCGAGATATTCTCAGAAATCATGAAGTGTGATGTCATCAATCAGTTAAAATAAATAAAATTGCATTGCTGGTACGACAAATTCGGCTCTCTATTCGAATAAAATTGATGGGAAGGCCAATATCGTAATGCGAAACACGGGCGTACACTATCGAACGACTATTTTGAGACCGTATCGGAACCCCGATCTATTTGATGGACTCGGTAGCGTGGTGAGGAATAAAACCCCCTATGCATTGGACGCTAATCATGTTATGTGATCTAACTTTAGTGTTTTGAGTAATTGGGAATTCCCGAAATACTTTCTAGACTTGTTTGTTAATAACACACGTCTGTCCCAACCGTTATACATATGAACATCATCAATTTACTTACACTGAAAAATCACTTATTGCTTCAATGGATTGATGAAGTAAGTTTAACGTTTCACTAGGCATAATTTCCAAGATAGGACGAGCGTATAATTTATAAACACAATCGGTTACAATTGCTACTTATCTCGACCCAGACGAGTGTACGTTACACTTTATAAAAATGTATATTTGCAATATGCTATTTGAATTTCAAAACGTCATAATGTAGTTAGCGGTAAAGGTGGAACAATAAAAGTGCGCGCGCGCCTGCCCGAGACGCTGGCGCCTCAACGCTCCAGTTGCCGCGTCTGCGCATCCAGCTAGCAGACCAGATACATGATTATACAGGGGTTACCACAAGCTTTTTGCATGTTAAGCCAGACACATTATTATGTTGTTGTTATGACTGCCTTGCATACAGACATGCAATTACCCGTCATTTTAAATTGAAAGACAATTTTATTTATTCATTGGAAAAATGTATGTTAGACATCGTTGGTTATTTTAAGTATGCATACGCCGGACCACCTGAGTTACGTATGAGTAGTTGTTAGTTTACAATCATTTTCCGTTTCAATTTTAAAGCTTAGTAACAGCACATTCTCGGAAAGTTAAGTCATCCTTGTTTAAAATACGATCTATTTTCGCAAAAGTTTTGTTGTTAAATAATTCTTCGACGATCGCCAGCAACTCACGTGAGTCATACTTTTACTCTAAAAATACGCACCAAATTAGTTTAAAATAGAAGTCCTCTCTGAGCGCTCCACTCGCAAATCTAAATAAAGAATTATCAGTTTAACGCCTGCCCTACTCATGTGGTGTGCCCGATGACGGCGACTATTTGTTTTCGCTAATTATCGTTCCTGCGACTGCGCGCCGCGTGAAATTACTGCCATGATGACCTACCTAAAAAATGTAAGACAATTTATGTACAACTAAAGAAACGTCCCTTCCGCTTTGTTTCACGCTGTTACTAACTTAATATTTTATCAAGAAAAAAGTTGTTTTTGTAAGCAGATGACTAACCTTACCTATTGCACAATATCTCGTAATATCATGTATGTACAAGACTTATAAAACGGAACCTCGCTTTGAGTGCATATCTTGCTACTGTTGTTGACGTAATTATCATCATTATTAAATGATATACCCAATATTATTTAATCTTATCTAACTGTTCATTACACCTGTGAGATTAACTGTACGTAACATCTTTCATTTCTATTTGTATTACTATATCCGTTATCTCATGTCGACAATTTCCTCAGATGACCCTTACTACTGCTCGCCGGATGAACAACCTGACGGACATTCCTAGTCGAACACGGAACAATAATAAACGTGTGCTATTGCTGAAACAAATCGAGTCTCATGTGTTTACGTCTCACATTTTTCGTAACAATGTATTTTTGTTTCTCTTGACCGCATTACTGATTTAATGGACTGGACACTGGAAAAAGATCGAGTCTGTCAAAACTTTATCTGTAACAAAATAATCTTCTGTAAGTCTTCTCGGCCTCGAAACAAGGCATCCTTCAAATTAAGTGAGTGTTAACGCGAGAGTTTACAATCTGCCAAGTTCCCACTTGTTAGTCGAGTTGGTAAACAGTTGACACGATTCGCGCAGCCAAGTTCCGCCCCCTTATGCACATTTTTGGTCTTGAAATGTCACCAATGGAAACTTTCACGTAAGTATCCTTCCGCTGTCGAGTTCGATGTGGACGTGACACTGAGAGTGTTTTCATACACATTACGGTTCATTTGCTAAATGTGTTGCGGTACAACAAACGAATGTGAATTAATTAACGGTCCTCGTTAGACATCCGCCGACTCTATAAAAACTTAAATGATTTGACAGCTCGCCGAATCGCAGTTTTCGGAATCGATCCCCGAAAACCCTCATCATCTTCGAATAATTTATAATTAGACAAAGGTGCGCGCCAATTTCAAAGGCATTGTAAGATACGCGACGGGTCATGAAGAGGGCACAGGTCGGCTAGCGACCTTGCGGGTGTATTCTGAGCGGCCGCGAGAGCTATTTCGGCGCGTCGACATCGATCCAAGCCACCTAACTGGAGCAGCCTCATTGGCACCTGAGATGCATCAAACTACATCAACGATTGCGAGATCGACATCTTCTAAGTGCGTCAATTCTACTCATTCTGACTGAATTGAAAATGAACAAATTATTGTGATTCGTATTGTTTTCTATCTTAAGAAAAGTAAGTAGCGTGAAACTGGTAATAATGCTTAGTAATAATGGAACACTCGTTTATTTTTGGCGCGATCGTAGTATGACTATGAACCCGGTAACAGAGTGTCGCGGTGACATTTAATTATACCTACGATTACGTACGTCAACAGTCTGGTCGCGAATGTGGACGGTAATCATACCGTTTGCTTAACTACTACACATGATCGAGCATGCAGTACTGTTATACACATAAATTGTATGATGAAACGTCTTGTTGCTAACCTAATACGTCTGTGTTTAAAGTTTTAAACACGTAATTAAACAAACCGTAGAAGTAACCGCTAGGTGTGACAATAAGTCTGATCTATTGTTATGTTGTATTGAGTATATAATCACCTATCACATTATGCCTGCATGTTGTAAGGCGTGTTGTCGTCTTATTAGGTGTAAAGGAAAAATTGCTTCAATGTTGCATTTGTGGGGTGCATTGCTCGTAGTTATCGACTAGGCACAATACCTGAGCGCAATTGTGCGGTCAACGTTCCCAGGCTCCTCGTCTAAGCTCATCAACGTAACTAAATTACGATAAGATAGTATGACATTGGCCAAATTTCTCTCGTTCACTTGAGCGGTTCGTTGGCTCAAGGTGACCGGCGGGTGCGTTGACATTCAGACGCCTTTATCAGAACACCCGAGTTCACGACGCGCCTATGTTTATTAGCGGCCCGCTTGCCGACTGCTGTCGATTCGAAACAAACCACCCCAATCTACGATAAATCGCAACACTTCACAGCTATTCGCCTCTAATCAAATTCAATTACAACCTTAAAAAACCAGAATGGTACAAAAACGTATTTTTTATCTTATAATTAGATATATTAGAATGTTAGCTTTACATTGACACAAAATGTCTAATGCACTCAAAACTCTGATCTAGTTATGCAATTTGGCGACTATCCGACTCTCAATATGAACGCGAATGCGTCACAGAAGAATTTATCGTCATTGGTTTTACTCTGAATACATTACATAATTATGTGATAATATTATGCATACCTAGTAACCAACTGCAGCATATTTGTGTTACTATTTTAGTGCACGGCCTGAAGGCCGGTTGCACTGTGGCATCCGTCACTGCGGAATTCACCATCGTCTTGCCTGCAGCCAATCTGTCGGCTAATAGCTCGAATTGTACGGTGCACTGCGAACCGGTGGATTTATTGACCGATATAGCCCTCGTTCGATTACACGCCAAAGGGTGGACGACCCCATTCGGGAGACAAGACTTAGATGACCCAATCTTGTTATAATACGAATTATTGATTCGACTGCCCATTGTCGAATCCGAGGATACCTGCTTGATTATGTCTCGCTAATCCAATACATTTTCAACCGTTTCTAGTTGAAACGCTGAGTTTCTTATACCCGAATTAAAGCATTAGGTCTTTCTCGTGTTTATCGAGAACGTGGTTCGATTTCGCGTCGTAAATCGCGGCTGTCTGCGACTCAATTGCGAACTAACAGAGGCAATGATTGAGTGCAGCAAAGAACTCTATTAAACCCGAGATGGTATCTCAATGCTGTCACGTGATCCGATCGCCTGCGACCTATACGAATCGCTGCACGATTCTGTATGCTCATGGCATTCAGTCTCCATTGCTATTGCAAGTGGGATTTGAATAGCTTATTTGCAAACATCTCACTAAATAAAACAAGTTCCCAAATACACTGATACTGTCAACTTGATTTAGATAAAAATAAAAAAAAATATAATATAATGATTTAGATATCATTATGGAAATGACACGATTTCTACACGTTCGTGTTGGTTTCATTATGATTCCCACGTGCAGCAGCCTATAAATATATTGTCAGTTGTGAAGTTTATTGTTGTTTACGTCCTTGTTTTTTTCGCTCTCGAACCCTGCGGAGAGTGGACGTGTCACAGTCGTACCTAAATTATCTATAAAAGTTGCAAGCGATAATAGTGTTTACTACTAATGTATCAGTGCTCAATCTCATGTGAATCTATCGATAGAAATTAAATAAATAATAAGTAAACAGTATACTGCATAAACGTGCGGGGTGACCGCACACCTCACCTCTGCGATAAGAGACAGTCAACATAATTGTCGTCCTTGTCTAACACAGTTCATCACGGCCCTACTCAACTGAAGCGACGGCTACGTTACTACCGTCATAATGAATTGTGAAGCTTGTAACACCGACATCAAAAATGATGACAATGTCAAATGTGTTCGTTGTAAAAAACAATATCACACATTATGCGTAAATTTTTCCCAAGACGATGTGAAAGATAAACAAACGTCGAGTAACTGGTTGTGTCCGCATTGTCGCAGTAAACAACCAAGAGGTGATAACTCCGGTACACCAGTGCGCCCTTC